TTACTGACACATCTACTACGACAATGAAAACTAAGGAGAAAATGAACAAATGGGACTAAATCAAAATAAAAAGTTTTTGGACAGCAAAAGAAACCATCAACAAAACAAGAAAACCCACTGCATGGGAGAACATATTTGGCAATGTGACATATGATAAGGGTTTAATCTCCAAAATTTATAGGGAACTCATACAATTTAACAAAAGGAAGATAAATAATCCAATAAAAAAATGGGCAGAGGACCAAAATAGATACTTTTCGAAACTGGACATATGGAAGGTCAAGAGACATATGAAAACATGCTCAAAGTCACTAATCATCCGAGAGATGCAAATCAAGACGACAATGAGGTACCATCTCACACCTGTCAGAATGGCTATCAGCAACAAATCAACAAATGACAACTGCTGGTGAGGATGTGGAGAAAAAGGAACCCTCGTGCACTGCTGGTGGGAATGCAGACTGGTGCAGCCACTGTGGAGAACAGTATGGAGTTTCCTCAAAAAATTAACAATGGAACTTCCATTTGACCCAGTGATCTCACTCCTAGGAATATATCCCAAAGAAACAGAAACACCAATCAGAAAAAAACATATGCATCCCTATGTTCACAGCAGCACAATTTACAATAGCGAAGATTTGGAAACAGCCTAAGTGCCCATCAGTGGATTACAAAGCTGTGGTTATATCTACACAATGGAATACTATGCTGCTGTAAAACAGAAAGAGCTGTTACCATTTGCAACAGCATGGATGGACCTGGAGAGGATTATGCTAAGCGAAATAAGACAGTCAGAAAAAGATAAGTATCACATGATCCACTCATTTGTGGACTATAATGAACAACATAAACTGATGAACAAAAACAGATCCAGAAACACAGATTCATTGAACAGACGGTCAAACTTCAGAGGGAAGGTAGGGGAGGGTGAGCATGACGGGGGATTGGGGAGAGATAAGAGATCAATGCTTATATGTACTTGTGTGCATATAAGCATAACCAATGGACACAGACAATGGGGGGTGTGCTTGGGGGGGAGGGTGAGGGCAGGCTGGGAGAGGACAATGGGGAAAGAGGACATATGTAATGCTTTCTACAATAAAAAATTTTTTTTTGAAAATGTAAAAATGCATGTATTCTTTGACTAAGGAATTACATTTTAATGAATTTATCCTAAAGATACACTCATATGTGTTTGAAATGAATTAATATGAGGTTTTCATTGTGACATTGTAATAAAAAAGCTTGAGAAACACCTAAGTGTTCTACAGTAGGTAACTAGATAAATTTTGGTAGATCCACACAATGGAATACTGTACAGGAATAAAAAATAATAAATGAAATTTTTATTTGCTGATATTAAAAGTCCTTCTACATTTATTTATTTTTTTATTTTTTAAAAATAAAACAAATGAGCCTGGCCAGTGTGGCTCAGTGGTTGTGCATCTACCTATACACTAGGAGGTCACAGTTAGATTCCTGATCAGGGTACATGCCCAGGTTGGGGGCTCCATCCCAATGTGGGGTGTGTAGGAAGTAGCCAGTCAATGATTCTCTCTCATCATTGATGTTTCTATCTCTCTCTCCCTTCCTCTCTGAAATCAATAAAAATATATTTTAAAAATAAAACAAATGAGATGACAATATCATGTATGCTATCATTTGTAGCATAAAAGAGGAATTGTATATGCCTAGCTATTTATTCTTATACTAGAGGCCCAGTGCACAAAATTCATGCACTGGTAGGGTCCCTAGCGGCTGTCAGCTACCAGATGGGGCCTCCCTCCCTTCCCTTGGCCAGCCCCGCCCCCTGGTTGAACTCCCAGACAACTCCTGGTCGAGGAGACAGTTTTCATACTATGCTTATACAGGATGCACAAAAGGCCTCTGGCACAACTCTGAGCAATTCAATGACATTGGCTACCTCTGTGGAGGGGACCTGGTAACAGAGGGCAAAGAAGAATAACTTGTCAGGAAATTTACTTTAATATACTTTTATTTTTTAACCATGTAAATATTTTCTAAATATTTACTAAGTTAAAAAGAAAAACAAATGCCACACTATGTGATTAAAATTTTTCCTAAAAAGACACTCACTTTGCTGTTGTTTATAATAGTAAAAAAGAGGAGCAATCTGCATGTCACCAATAGGATATTGGTGGGATAAAATTGTACACTGAGACTGTTCTGATATTATAGAGTCTGGGGCAACTTGTGTTTTTCTCTGTTGATTAAAGGTATTGCCTGTAGCTTCATGATGGAATCCTGCAGAACTTGTAGTTTTCCTTTTCAAGACCTTCTTCAAGTGTGTCTGTTTTCTTTTTTGTTTTAAAGAGGGATGGCAACAAATTTATTTTATTGAAGAAAGTAATAATAATAACAACAACAATAATGTAAGGCCGCCCTAACCGGTTTGGCTCAGTGGATAGAGCTTCGGCCTGTGGACTGAAGGGTCCTGGGTTCGATTCCAGTCAAGGGCATGCACCTGGGTTGCGGGCACATCCCCAGTAGGGGGTGTGCAGGAGGCAGCTGATCCATGTTTCTCCCTCCTCGATGTTTCTAACTCTCTATCTCTCTCCCAACCTCTCTGTAAAAAATCAATAAAATATATTTTTAAAAAATAATGTAAGGCCAAGAAAAATTAAATTAATCAATCCCATTGACTTTAAATTTTTGGAGCAGATGTCTGCATAACCCTTAATTGATTAAAACATCAGTGTTATATATTTTTATTCAGAACTTATTGGCTAATCAGTCATGATGACAAATATATACTATCTCACATGAGTGGGAATAGTTTTCTCTCTGATTCAGTTTCTAAATTAGCTTTTTCACTGGAACACCATGCAGTCTCTTATTTCCTTAAACACATTCTAGGAATTGACTTTACCTTTCTATAATTTATTAGCCAAAATCCAGCAATCATTAGCATTTTTGACACATGAATTTAAATAGAGGACTTTTCTGTGCTTTATTGTTCCTTTTCAATAAAATAAATTGGCAGCACATTGAGTCCTTGGGATGTGTCTTGCACATGCAAGACCTCATAATTGTATTTACATGTGACACGGAATTAGTATTATAACATGAGTTTACTAGTACTTGTGTAGAGCCCGCCTTTCCTCGACAGCACTCTGTAGTTGTGCTTTAAAATAGTCAGCAGACTAATGCTCCTCCATGGCAAGGTGGTTCCCTTTCCTTGGAAAAATAGAGGAAAAAGAAAGGCTGGTGTGTTTTTAAAGTTTGTGTCCTCAATTAAAGCATTTATCCTAATTGTGAATTATTAAACTGGATGTCAACATAATCTTTTACGAAATGGTAGGTGATGATTATTTTTCATTTTATTAGTTTGTAAAATCTATTCCTCGAGTCGATGAGAAAGATAAATCGGTGGCTAATCAAGTGAGCTTTTAAATTATTCCGGAATGAAGTCTCTGTGGCCTGGCATCCGCACCTGTGCCTCGGGGTTACGTACGGGGATCCCAGTGAAGGGTTGCTGTTCTCAGCTGTCGTAACAAACGGCTCTTCATAGCACAGACTGGTGGCTTAATGAGCAAAACTTATTTTTTCAGGGTTCAGGAGCCTGGAAGCCTGAAGTCTGGTGCCAGCATGGCTGGGTTCTGGAGAGCCTCTGTTTTGCTTACAGAAGGCTGCCTTCCCCTTGTGTTGTCACATGGTGAAGAGAGAGGACACGCTCTCTGGTAAGGGTTGAACCTTCAAAGGAATGAAAACAACAGCAAATTACTATGGCTCGGTTTTTTCCAACCTCCATTAAGGCCGCTTATCTTTCTCTCTTAGTTTTTTTTCTTGGAACAGTTAGATCTCTGTTGTCTCTTAAAAGGTCACGATCTGGTCATAAGGGCTTTGCCCTCCTCACCTCATCTAATCCTAATGACTGCCCACGTCCCATCTCCAAGGTCCATCACATGGAGGGGGCAGTGTTGGGGCTTTAATATATGAATTTTGGAAAGACACAGGCATTCTATCTATAACAAGGGCTGTGATGGTGTTAGGATGATGTTGGGCCAGGGGTCCAGGAGGATTCAAGTCCTTCTTTGGTTAAATCTACCACTAAATTTGGGGAACAAGGGCAAAGCAAGGCAGATTACAGTTACTAATGAAAGCTTTGTAGTCTAGAGCCCTCGTGCACACTCTGGTAGATATGCAGTTAGCAAAGGAGAACTCAGTAAGTGTTTTGCTTGAATGACCTGCAACAGAGGGTAACAAATCAGAGCCTATGAGCCAAGCGTGGCTTTTACATTTCCCATATTGAAAATTCAAAAGAAGATTTTGTGAGATTTGGAAATTACATGAAATTCAAATTTCATATAATGTGTTATTAGAATAAATAATAAGGTTTTGTTAGAATACAGCCATACTCATTTGTTTATACATTGTCGATGGATGCTTTCGTGCTGCAGTGGCAGAGTTGCATGGGTTCAAAAGAGCCTAAAATATTTACTCTCTGGCCCTTTAGAGAAAAAGTTTGCCTATTCCCAAGTCTAAATCTTGGCTCAAAATATATTTCAAAAAGACGCAGAGCCATACCCATCAATACTAGAAACAAATGGATCCGGAGACGGGATACTTACTCCAAAGCATGGCGTGAGCTGGCTTTGAGACTGTCCACTTCAAGTTGTGTGATGCCAGACCTAACTGTTCCAAGAAGAGAAAAACAAATGGCCTTATGGGAGAAGGGAAGAAGACAGAGCCACAGTAATTTGCTGATCTTTTCATTCCTTTGGAAGTTCAGCCTTTACCAAGTAGAATCCTGGGCCCTGAAATGGGACCAATCTAGATCAAGATCTTCCTTTGAGTCTTTACCCCTTGATTGGTACTTACCATTCAAGTCACAGGAGATGGAGGTATGGGAGCTCAGAGTGGTACCCTTTCTAAAACTCAACCTTAATAGATGAAAATCGGTGGCATTATTGAAATCAGGCCACTTCCTTTGTCCCTGACTTGTTTTCTCCCTCCTCCCCTTCCCTGTCACACACAAGGTGATTTTAAAGGATGTGGACTCGCTCCTCTACGTGGACACTGACGTTCTCTTTCTGAGACCCGTCGACGACATCTGGAAGCTCCTGCGGCAGTTTAACTCCACCCAGCTTGCAGCCATGGCCCCTGAGCATGAAATACCCCAGACCGGCTGGTACAGCCGCTTTGCTCAGCACCCTTTTTATGGCTCCGCGGGAGTTAATTCGGGAGTCATGCTAATGAATTTAACTCGTATAAGAAGTGCCCAGTTCAAGGTAAGGAAGTACTTTATTTTCCTTGTTTAAAATTTGGAATTTTGTCTTTTCCGGACAGTCAGTGTGCTGATTAGGAAATCGACAAGTAAGGATGGGAGGAGCCAGGGAACGGTGTTTGGAGAATTGTGGGATATTTGTCTGCTCAGGAAAAGCCCAGGGGGTTATTGAATCTAAAGCTTCAGTGGAGTTTCCCTTCAGGACTATTGCGCTGCATTTCTGAGTCCTGTCATGTTTGAACTCCGAGTGTATCCAGTGCTTCATGAAACCCTTGGGGACTGTCCTTGGAATCACCGTGGGGTAATTTACCTAGTACACAGATATTTGTACAAGGCTGTACACGGCCTCATTTTTTTATCCCAGCAAATAATGGGAACTAGTCAAAAATAATCCTCCTATTAAAAAGAATTAGGTATCCCTAGCCGGTTTTGCTCAGTGGATAGTGTCAGCCTGCAGACCAAAGGGTCCGGGTTCGATTCCAGTCAAGGGCATGTACCTGGGTTGCAGGCTCCTCTCCACCCCAGGCCCTAGTCAGGGCTCCTGCAGGAGGCAACCAATCAATGTGTTTCTCTCACTTTGATGTTTCTCTCTGTCTTTCCCTCTCTCTTCCACTCTCTCTAAAAATCAATGGAAAAATATCCTTGGGTGAGGGTTAACAACAACAAAACAAAACAAAAAAAGAGATTTAGGTAAATCTATAAGTAAGATAAATAAGATCTCTAAACAGTATTAAGTGAAAAAAATTAAAATAGAACAGAGCATGATATTGTAGGGTATGATTCCTTTTATGACTTAGAAATTTCCAGAAAAACACCTAAGAGACCATTAATTGTTAATTGCGGATACTTCTAGGGAAAGTGGAAATGGGAATTGTAGGAGGATGGAGGGTGAGTGCTTTTAGTGTATTTTAGATCTTTGTATGCTGTTTGAATATTTAGTCTGTGAATGTGTTGCTTTTATTTTTTAAATTAAATTATTATTTTAAGACAAGAAACGCGTGTTTTTCCTTAAGCTGCCGTAATGCTGTTACTCCTATTCTGCTCCTTCACTGCAGAGGTCAGGATGAAGCATGAGAAAGAGGCTCATTCTGGGGCCTGATTTTCTAAGTAGAAATCATGTCCCAACTACCAGTTCCTGGACCATCCAGTGTCCATGGGCACATTTACAACCCTGCCACCCACAGCCTTGTTTCGTTTTGTGCTGTGCCTTGAAGTCAGCAGGACCTCTCCTCTATTTGCTTTTGGGGGGAGAGGGGCCCAGTACCTCTACGTTGTTTCTCAGTGGACAAGATGGATTTGCTTTGCTTCAGCTGCTCCGATGGTTTCCTCTTTTCCAGAACAGCATGATTCCAACAGGGTTGGCTTGGGAGGACATGCTGTACCCTCTATACCAGAAGTACAAGAATGCCATCACGTGGGGAGACCAGGATTTATTAAATATTATTTTTTACTTCAATCCAGGTAGGTTGTTTTTCCAGAATGTCATTTGTATGGGAGTGTGCCCACCTCACCCCATAGAGACGTTCCAGCCAGGTCTATACTGAGAGCATGAGCTGTGTCTGCGTCCCCTCCCCACCCAGCTGGCTCAAGGGACCCTGGGATCTCTTGGAGGTGGGTCTTTGTACTGCTGACACAAAGACCAAATGATAAAACCTCCAACACTGGATCCATTTTTTGAGAATCTCTCTTATATTTTGCCAGCACAATTCTTCTGAGAAGTACAGTCAAAATTAATGGGAGGCACTGAACTAAATGAAAATGTTATCATCTAGGCATGAGGCCCTCTTCGCCTGAACAATGTCTGGATTGAAGGGAATGGATTCTTGGGATCCTTAAAGGAAAGTGACTTATTCAAGGGTAAAAGAGCCTGAATAAGGACTCAGGTTCCCAAATCCCTTTTTGTTTTCATTTGGAGCAGAGGGAAATTCTTTTTGTATTGTTATATCCATGATATTGTGGAGTTGAGTAGGGGAGAGAGACAAACATTTCTGGTCTATGTTTTTATTTTGACACTTAAAACTAACAACGTTTCCTTTTAAAGACTTCAGCCTCTGGTTGCAAATCACCCTGGACCCACCTGCTATGTACCTTTATTTTCTTTAACAAAACCCTGGAATAAAAGCTTTGAATCAAAAAGGATCAAATGCAAGGGGGGCGGGGGCAGAAGCAGGTGGATACAGTTTCTGGGAAAGATACCCAATGCTCATTCATTAGACAAAGGGAAGATGTTGCCATTCACTTGGGACATTTCCGCCCATTGCACTCTGATAATCATAGGGATTTTCAAGTCCGCATCTTCTGCTTTTTCTTGTTCAGCACATTTCATCTTTTTTTCTAGGGTAAGATTCTCGACTGCAAATAAAAGGCCTCTGGAGTTAGTCTAAATGCAAAGGGCACTTTAAAAGAAAACCAAACTGCTGTCCCATGGAAACAGGGCAGACAGGCCAGCAGACTCAGCCAGAACCTGAAGCAGGAAAGAGAAATGATGGGAACCAGGTTGGACTTTCTCCCACTCAGGCTGGTTTTTCCTCTTTTAAAACTCATTCTCTGCTCCTCAGACCTCAAAGCAAAGTACCGAGGTCTCAAGCTGCAGGTCCAGCCCCACGTAAAGACTAACTGATCCCAACCCACAGCTCAGGGAGAGATCTGTGGGTTCCAGCGCAGCCAGTTAGGCCAAGCTGAGGGACCATGGCTGACATTGATTATGTGCTAATGTCAGGCGCTGGTCTCAGCATTATCTTCTTTAACCCTCACAGCAACCCTGAGAATGTAAAGGCAAAACTACCGAGTGAAAGATGATTTGTATGACAGCTAATGAGCGCGGGAGCACGGCATGAGCCCAGGACACTCGGCTCCAGCCCTATGTGTTCGGGGAGGAGATTTTGGAGAGGGGAGTCAGAGAGCTGGGCAGATACCCCACAGTGGATATCTCTGCTGCATTATTTCTGTTCTTTTAAATATTGCATTTTCCTTTCTGCTGAGTGGCTAAAACTGTCTTCCATAATCTTAATCTGTCTGAATTCCTAAACTGAGGAATTTAAATAATCTGCCAAGTTGCCTCCCCAGATACCCTCTGAGCCTATTGCAGACTGTTCAAGGGTGTGACTAGAAGTAAACAACCCTCAAAGGGAGTCACAGCAACCTTGTGATTACAGACGAGCCCCTTGTCTTTATTTTATTTTTTTCCTTTATTTTATTTTATTTTATTTTATTTTATTTTATTTTATTTTATTTTATTTTATTTTATTTTATTTTATTTTTTCCCATTACCTTCTTGTCTTTCTTTTAGGCTGAAAACCAGCTGAGTAAATGCCTTCCTCACTACCCCTCTTAGATCCATTGAATACAAGAATAAAGTAAAGTTTCCTGGCTTTAGATTAGTATTAGGTAACTACTTGATTTTTTTTTTTTTTTGTATGTGTTGCCTGCATTTAATCTGCTATTTTATACTTTATTCAAGAATTTTATTAAACATGAAGTCTTTGACCCAGTCGGTGTAATTCAGTGGTTGAGCAACTATCTATGAATCAGGAGGTCCCAGTAGAATTCCTGCTGGGTTTTAGGCTCAATCCCCAGTTGGGGCATTAAGGAGGCAGCCAATCAATAATTCTCTCTCATCATTGATGTTTCTATCTCTCCCTCCCTCTTCCTTCCTCTCTGAAATGAATAAAAATATTTTTCTAAACAAACAAACAAACAAACATGAGGTCTTTGAACTGAAATCAGTGCTATGCATCACAGTGAATGGTTTTTCTTTGTTTCTATTGGCTGTGAGCACTTTCTATAAACTTGAACAAACTGCATTTTAAAAGAAGATTTTTTCACCTCTATCCCTGGCAAGGAGAGACAGAGGAAAGATTGGCCCTGACACCAGAGATAAACATGCTTATTACTATGGTTCTTTGGGTTGCCACAGGTGAAGTAATGCACGCAAAATGGAACATATATCTAGATATCATTATCATAGATATCCTGTAGCCAATGGTATCACTATTATAATGTGTTTAAAAGTCATTAGTTACAAAGGGGTTTTAGAACTCGTGCTGTAATTAGATTCAGGCCTTGGGGGGAGGGGGGGTGATTGCAGTGCTGGGTGACAGGCTGGTACAAGAGGAAATAGCTGAAGCCCATGGAGGGCACACAGGTAGGTCAGTCTACAGGTCGTTTCCTGACAGGTGAGCTAAGGCAGCTTCTTCAGGGGGTGGAAGACTGAGCTCATATCTTAACCAGGGAAATTTGAGTGCAAGAGCAGAATCCCATAGAAAGGTAAATATGACAAGAATTGAAAGGAACTCTGTAGAAAGATGTGCTTGGGTTAATGCCCGAGGCTGCAAGGAAAAGAAACTCCACTCCCCAAGGGTGCAGGGAGACCAGGAGCACATGGATCGGATCATGCTGGTCATTATGAGAACAAGTTCTGGAAGCTGCTAAGGCCAAAGCTGATTTTTTCATCCCTGATGGCCTCTGTCATTTTGCTTCTCTCCATGCCCCTCTGATTCTATTTTACCATTTAGAAGTGTTAACGTAAAATCCATTGAAACCTGTAAAGAAATTTTGTGAGTTTATTTGAGCGAAACTGTCGACATATGCCAGGAAGCAGAACCTCAACAAGTTGAGATAATGCTCCGGAGACTGGAGGGTTACATCTGTATTTATACATTGCAATCAAAGGAAGGGACAGATATAGGTGGGTTACATGAAATTCACTGGTGATAGACTAGAGAGGCGGGAGAAAGCAAAGGCGGGGGGGGGGGGGGACCCCTGGGATTGCATAAAAAGTAAAATGATAGACACATACTTAGGTGGGTGCAGGAACAATTAACATGATAACAATGAAGGAATTTGTGGTCTCCTGGCGCCCAGCACATTAGGTTGTGCCCCAAGGGGTCCAAAAAAAGGGAAGTTACAAGTTACCCAGACATTTCAAAGTATATGTTATTATAGATGCAAAAAGGCAGAGGCTCAGTTAAGGTAAAGGTTGACCTTGTCAGTGAAGATACCGGCCTAGGACAGCCGTGGGCAAACTACGGCCCGCGGGCCGAATTCGGCCTGTTTGAAGTGAATAAAACTATTGAAAAAAAAGACCGTACCCTTTTATGTAATGATGTTTACTTTGAATTTATATTAGTTCACACAAACACTCCATCCATGCTTTTGTTCCGGCCCTCCGGTCCAGTTTAAGAACCCATTGTGGCCCTCGAGTCAAAAAGTTTGCCCACCCCTGGCCTAGGAGGTGACTGCCCACCATAACTGCTTTAGTTAAAGTTTAATTTCAGACCATCCTTTGTGGTGACTTCAGGTTTCCGAGTCTGCAAGACCGCCATGCAGGCACTTCCCTGAACCTGTCAGGTTAGCACGTGGCCCCTTTCGTCCACACAAGCATTCTCTATTTGCACATGGCCCAACTCTGAGGTTGTGTTGAACAATCTGACAAGCCCAAATCAATTATGCTGTTTCCTATGTTTTCTAATTCAAGTTTTTAGAGTAAGAAAAAGAGAGAAAGAGAGAGAGAGAGAGAGAGAGAGAGAGAGAGAGAGAGAGAAAGAGAGAGAGATTGATTGATTGGCTGTCTCAGCCTGTGAATTGATTCCCAGCTTAACTTTGAATCAGTTCTTTTTGGATAGAGATACCACTCGTGATCTGGCCATCAAGGGCCAAAGAAGCAAGGGTATGTGGCATCTCTCTCTCTCAAACATGACCACCCAGGTCTGTCTCTGCTTTGAGGCAGTTTTTAGAAAAATGGGCTGTGAGCAGATAAGGAAATGAAATTAGCCAAGTATAGAGGACAAGGTAGTGCATCCAACCAGGATAGAAACAGTGGGGTTCTGCTCACAGGGAGAGAGAAGAGCTGAAGTGCCCCATGGAGTATATAGATTGTCTGTAAGTTCAATATGATAGCAGGAAGTTAGGAGAATTTACTGGGGCCACAGGGAGCAGGACACATAGTCACATGGAACATGTCTCTTCAGTGGCCTTGTCAGGGCCTTGTTCTTATACTGCCAGTGATCACTGGAGCTCTGCACTTGAGGGTGCAATCATATTGTATACTCACTCCACCAAAAGCACCCAGCAATTGGCAGTTATGAGTGTGTTGTTGGGGGAGGGGTTGACAGGCTCAATTATTTGGTATTAACACTGTTTGGGGAAACTGGTAACAAATCATTGTTCTGGGAATCTGGGAAGTTCATGAGCTCTGATATAAAACACAAACATAAAGATTGTAGGGTCCTCATGAAGGGTCTGTGTCTACTTTTGTCTTTCTCAGCATCAAGTTTAATGCCTTAAATAGAGTTGGTCTTCAGAATTGTTGGTTGGTTGAATGAATGGAATTAAGATAGTGGAGTGAAAGAGGGTAGTAGATGGAAGAGAAAGACTATGGCAAGAAAAGTGAGAGGAAAGGAAAGTGGGGAGAGAAAGGAGAGCAAGAAGGAGAATGACGCTGATGGCGGAGGAAGGTATGT